ATGCCCCGTTGCCAATGCGACAGTTTATAATCAGAAGCTATCATTGATTAATTCACGGTCCATGGACAAAACGAAGGTTGCGAAACATGCAAAATACAATGTCACAAAACTTCGTAGCCCCTTCAGCCTAGGGGGATCAAACAGGACAGGAAGGAATCGATGAAGATAATATTCCCATTCCCTCTTCCGAGTTCTCCCCCCGTCCACGAGAGAGACTACTGCAGTGTGTTATTGCCGACAAAGATCAGGGAGACTGGAATGGCTATTTCTGGCTTATTAGCCGTCGTCAGCCAGTCATACTCAATCCCGAAGCGTGGAACACCCGAGGCTCGAACTCGCGACCTGCTAGTTAGAAGTACACGGCTCTAATCACTGGGCCACGAGACCGTTGCCCTGTCGGTTTCGATCGGGAATATACAATGGTATGGGGCGCTCACCGATCGTTCTTACGGCTGACGACGGCCAATAAGCCAGAAATGGCCATTCCAGTCTCCCTTGTCTTTGTCGGCAATGCCTACCATGCGCCGCTGTACGGCTGCTGGTTGAGCTCGAGAGGGAGATAGCTCGTAAGGCACAACGGAACGAGTGAGTTCCGTATGAACAATCGGTGAGCGCCACCTACCAGTAACCACTGCCCCACGGTGTGTAGGCGTATGAGGCCTCACAATGTCTCACTGAGACCTAAACTCGCTCACTTATACAACTTCCTTCTTCTCCTCCCTCCCTCGCGTCACGCCCACGTACATATCTGACAACATTTTCGGTTTTTAGTTAAGTATCATGTCTGATCTCGCCAGGGAGTTTAATTATTCAACAGTCATCCTTATAAATATGCACTGATCATAAGCTGTGGAACAGGAGGTCAAGAACTTTTATGACGTCATCAAATTCTGCCTGTTTCGCCACATTTGCCTTCTCCAAGTTCCTTCCTAAAAAGCATTGTTTCAAAATTCACGTTTATTTTAGTGAGCAGGCGAGAACTCGATCACGAACGATGGTCCCTATAATTTCTCAAGCGACGGCCATGAGACCACTTGCATGATAACTAGCCTCAAGATGTTTTAGCCTTCACTAACGCAAAAAGACGATGCAGTCAGCCCTCTAGGCCTGTAGGTCCCGAACTGGCTATCTACGGGCTAACAACTTCTCACACCGGTTTCACGCCAGGACCATTCTCATAATCCGGGCGAGCTAAGTGCACCTGGAAGATCCTGTTTAATTGCTTTTGAATGCACATTCCTCTGCATACTTCGATATGCTTGTGCCTCCTTAGTGAGCTCAGGGAGGTGGTTTTCGAGGTAAAGACGATCATGGCCTAAGCTCTCTTGCCAGCACTTGACTTGCCGCGGCAGACCCCAACCACTAGGACCTTCAGATCCCGTCCCGAATAGAAAGACAAGAAGCTGGACGCCAGTAGAGAAATCCTTATTCTGTACAAAATGAAAGGGAAATAGGTTGGGGCAAGTTGGTGGTCGAATGAGAGGTAGAAATCCGGCACCATCGGAGCAGGCGTCCGATCGCCGCCTGGGGAGACGTCAGAGCGCATTGAGCCTAAAGTTGATCGGTGGGTTTGGATTGACTGAGAACCAGACTACTGCCGGCATGTGCAAATAGGGTAATGTTGCAGCAGGCGCCCGGAATAGGGTTGTGGTGAGGTACCGGACTAATTTACCTTTGACAATTTAGTCCTGATTTCTTTGCCCGCATTGCTTGTTTGGATGTGACGAAAAACAACACATCTGTACAACCCGCCTTGTTAGCGTGCTCCACCGTCGAGCTGTGTTGTTCAGTTTTCTTAACGTTCAAAATCTCTCTCCTTGGTTTTACTTGCTGCATGTAAGACAGGGGCTCGTGAGAGATAACTCGTTAGTTCCTGAGAACATAACCATTTACGACAGGGTCATCACACTCCGTCACAAGCTACGAAAACTGCGTCTGAACATGAGGGTGTCTGCTACGTCGTAGTCATTTTGGGAATGTGGTTACTGTATCGTGTGATTGTTAAAACCCTGACGTCCGGCAGTTTACTTTGAAGTATGCATAAATTTGGAAACGAGGTTTGAGTGTGTAAGCCTTCGTTTAATGATCTGATTAAGACTTACTACAGTGTGAAGTTCGCAACTCTGGACGGTCACCGACGAGCACTTATGCCCCATTTCCCGACTGATTAGTATGTATATTGTTACCAGCACCCTGTTCTGAAATGCTAGAACAAATATTCTTGACGATTTCTGTCCAACTCAAGGGGATAGTCCCGTGCTTGAGGGGTCTCATGAAAGCTAAGGATGCTGCCGAACCATCTCCGTGATTCTCAAATTAGCGGACGGTGGGCTTTAACTTTATTTTCGACTTCTATTTTGGCATATATTATATCAGGCTACCAGACTTTTGATCGACGAGTCTGAAAATAGAATACCAAAACTTTTGGCTTATCCGCATTCTGCGGTGTTTAATCGGGCTGGGAGCATTTTGAAGTGAGAACGCTGCGGTATCAAAGACCCTCTGCTGGAGTTTTGGACTTCTTAAGTACTGGCTTTGTAGGAAAAGGAGACTTGAATTGACCTATGTGCTTCAAGTTTCTTGTGAATGTCTGTGTTAAGTCTGTAAGGCAGCACAAGTTCGACAGGGTTGTTTGAACGAGCGGAGATCATTTTTGGCGCGGATCCAGGATGGGCTCGGTGTGATCGTCTACCAGCGAAGATGGTCGGTGTTCCTCCCCTTCCTACCGCTGACACCGCTTCCCTCGCTCTTCCCGTCCGTCCGTGTCTGGTTTCCTTTATCGTCAACACGCTCTCTGGCCCTTGCCCGCAGTTGACGACAACGCTGCAATCCCCACTGGCATGCCATGGCAACCTCCCACTCCAGATGGATCATTTGTACAGGACCTGGCTACTTTCTTGTATTCGTTATTTTTCACTATTTCTACTCTATCCATTTTTTGTCGTAGCATAGATTTAATATACTAGAAACCCCTTTTCATGCTGCATCGCTACATGTTTGTCTGATAGGGTGTTTAAAACTTCTGTCCAGTGTTACGTAACCGGAAGGTCACCCTAGGGGGTTTATCCGACCATCTGTGTGATAACCTCGACGTCTTTGTCCGCTACAAGTCTTCAAGTTCAGCAGTCTACACATCTAAACGCACCGTCCCAGAATAGTGGGCCATGTAGCAGTTTTCACGATCGAGTATGGTTGATTGTGTTATGACCCGGCCTGGTACTTGAAAGCACGTGGGAGCGTATGCGTACCCGACTATGGTCCCCAAAACCAACGCGGCAGAGAAGAGGAACGCGACCGGCCACGAAAATGTGTATTAGGAAATTGCAAGTCAAAATTAATTGGAAGTAACGCATATTTATAACGCCCTATTGTGGTTCGTCGGTATTCGGCCCAGTGCCCCTCGGGAAGAATAGTCCAGACGAGCTGGTCGATAATTCGAATACGCAGATCGATCAGGCCCCAGGGGAAAAGCCAATGGAGAGGCGCCACGATTAAGATGACAGCGTAGTAGAGAAAACGCACGTGGCATCCAGTGATTGACTGGCTCTTGTTTTTGGGCGTGTAGGTACTCCCAACAGATTGAAATTCAGTCATACCCTTAGGATTGAATTAACCTGTTTGCGTTGGGCGCATATGAGCTGAAAGGTTTTGATGGTTTTTTTGCGGAGGACAGACAAGTTGCCGAAATACATCCTCCACGCCTATATGGTAGGACTAATTCTGTCATAATTTGACCTCATCTTGAAAGAAAATAGACGTGGTTACGATTTACTGGCAATTTCCCTAGCATGCCTAGGCTACTGACCACTGGAACGTTCATAACTACCTCAGACAGCAAATGCGTCATGCTTAGACCAAACAAAAACTTTTAGTTAAAATGGGAAATTATTTGAAACAATGTGGCAGGAAAAATGAGAAAAGGAAGTCTCTTTAAGAACCGAAGTTGTCCAGGGCGATCTACTCGAAATTCGATCCGAACACTTGAATACCATAAACCATAGACTAATTTCGTCTGTCAATACTCTCGAGTAATTAACTATAGGTCATGCGAAGATACCGAATCAAACATTGAACAAATCAAATTCAGCGAACATTCCATTTCAGATTTCCATTCTCAGGCCTGCACAGTAATATAAATTGCTGTAAAGAGGTTAAATTTGAAAAATAGCCCGACACGTTTGCTGAATTCGCCTTCTTCGGTTAACTGCAATCCGTAAAAATGCCTTTAGGCGGATAATATAATATGGCAGCGGTCTCAGTAACGATTGGCACAGAGCATGATTTGAATCTAACGAAGATGTCTTTTATTAACATGCGAATCATTTCGATTCAGCTACGAAAATCAATCGGCTTATGTTTCGAAAGTGACCATATGGAATGAACATTTCAGACTGTGTTCGCGGAGATCTCAGCTTGAAAAGCACAGTAATTTTTCGTAAACGCTTTAGGCTTGGAATTTGATTGATCAAATTAGAATCTCACCAGAATTATGAAAGTTTGGCTAGAAACCGCTGTAAATGAACGAACCAACTGAGTTTGCAAACTTTTCTGCCGAAATAATAGTCCAGATGTTCAGACAACCACCACCACTACTTTGATTTCTCTGCCAACAAATATTCAGATGGAAGAAGACTTCCTATAAAACTATAGTATGTCAAAATCATACATATTTAATATAAGCACTCAGTAAGGAAATTTATGTACAACAGCAGACATGATGGGCCCAAAGACAAGCAGCTCATACTCGCGTCTGTGACTGAAATTCGTGGGAGGCCTTAGAACTCTCGGAGGGGAAGGGGAGTAGAAAGGGTACTGAATGTTTTTTCTTCAGATAGTACGCACTTATAAAAAGGCACATTCTGCCTTAGTTGGCAGTGAGGACAGTGAAATTATCGGAGTAAATGCGCATCCTTTATCTGCTGCAGCAGAAGTAGTGCTCGAGGTAGAAAGAGGGAAAAAGACGGGAAGAGTAAGAAAAAAGAAGATTTCTTAACAAAGCCCTAGGAAGACTGTTCTCCCAGGATGTGAAGCTCCGGCACCAGCAGGCTTTTCCAATCTGGTTTTTTTTCGTCCGCAGTCTTGAACACCGGTTGGGTGTCCATCGCTATGGAGGGCCTGTGTAAAACAAATCATTAGAAAGCCGGTTACAATGTAAAATTATAATCAAGCAAAAAAGTAATTCAAACATTGTATGGCTCACCTTATCCTCCAGGTGAACGCATTTCGTTACACTTGCACAACATTGGGCAAAAGGATTGAATCAGCCTTCGCGAAGAATAATTGCGTAAGTTAGGTCACAAAAGTTTTCTTATTAAACAAAGGTCCAGGCTATTTTGTACACGGTAAAATATTGATTTTTTAGGCTGGATTCGTTCCAGCCATCAGTGCAAATCACGCTCGAGGAGAAATCTCTATTGCACTTCATAAGCAGAAACATTTTAGCTCATTTGATTATCACAGATAGGCAAAAAGTTTTCTGCGAAAAGTTATCATTTGACACTTTTAGAAGAGCATTTGGTGAGCATACGCGTGCTTTCGATAAATTCTCGTCGGGTCTCTTCAGTTATGAGAACGAGGTACGAACTGCAACGTGTGAGCGAAAAGGGCAATCGATTGCGATTCGTCTTTTCATACAAACTGGGTATGCAAATAGAGGGGTGGAGGGGGTGGAGAGGAAACGATGACAGTGAGGGTTAAGTAAAGACTTTTCACTAGGGCCGGGGGGGGGGGGGCGCGGGGACATGTCTGCCCACGACAGACGCCATTCTTGCAAGAGGTTCTTCTGCGAGCACAGGACCGGCCTCTCTGGCAGTTGCTTCTGCCGTTGCTTATACGTGATGACCCATTCGCCTAGGTTAGTTAGGTGGAATCTCATAAATCACACAGAAGGCTTCGTTGGGATTTACACGATGTCCAGAATCAACCATGTGCGCGAGTACGGAACTGCGTATGCTCTCAACTTCAACTTTCCTCAGCCATGCCGGCAGGTGTACTCGCATTCTCGTAGATAGGCGCCGACTCGTACGACCAGCATAGCCTGCTCCACAGGAGCCAGTAAAGGAGTAAATGCACATGGAGGCGGTCTGTGTTGGTAGCCCAATCCTTACCTTCCCCGTGTAAGACGAGGTCGATAGAAAACAGTACTTAAATTCCTGCTGCCCGGCTTGGTCAAGACGCCTTCTCAGGAGTTCACTCGCTGCGTCCCCTTAGAAATGGACCTTGAGGAACAGAGTTCTCTTTTCCGCCGCCGGTATGATGACATTTTGTGAAGAAGTATAGCATTTTTCCTTGACCAAACAATTTTTAAACGCTAATTCAGATAATCTTTTTATTTTAAGGTGTAAAAGGAACTCTTGTTCAGTGTTCAATGCGGTTTTGCGCCCACCTGATTCTATGGAGCCTGGAATTTAAAAATAAAGACGTAACGTTAACGGACTATATCTGGTAACTCCAATTAAAGACCGGTAACATATGCAGTGCAATTGAAGATGCCGAGGTCGGACGCGAGATTATGGATCTCCGTATCATAGGTGGCTTTACTATAAACTGTAGGTGGTACCTACTCCGTCGTCCTGACTTCAACACTAGTCCTGACACAAACCCTAGTCTTCAATGAAACTCGGCGCAAGACTACCTGCAGTGCAGCGGGCGGAGGTCCATGTTCCCGCGCCTTACCGATGTTCCGAGTAATCCTCATCATCGGAATTGTTTTTCAGCTAACTAGGAAGAAATTGTCAATTCTTTGCATTTCGACGCTTGCCATTCACACACAGGTACAAGCATACTTTTCTATGTTCAGAATTTGGGCCGTGAAACTGTCAATACCCACTTGACTTGTTTATAAGAGACAAACCCACTAGTTAGGCACAGCGAGTAGGCTATCCAGGAAACGAAAATAGCAGTATCCCAACAGTTACAAACCAGTAAATAAGAACAAAGTCATCAGCAGGTAAACGTGCACGTGAGTGTTCTTTGTCTTATTCAAAGTTGTGTCAAAGCGTATTGTAACTGATTAAAACAAAACAGATTTAAATGTCACTACATGTTCATGCTGGACATTTTTTTATTGCAGGATATTATGAATCTGGCTTCTTTCGAAGTTTCTCGCGTGGGGTTAAAAAGTCTGGCACATAATTTTAGGGGCAAATTTAAAATAGTACGACAATAAATGAGGGTTGACTCTGATGGAGCTTAAGAAGTCGTTAAAGGCCAATTTCCCTATTAGGTAATTTTAATGACCTACCCTCAAAATCTGGTACTTCGCGGCTGTATCATGCAGCAACACAACAACATAACGCACAGTTTGCGTCTGGCTGATAGCTGACGGGCAATAAGCTAGAAATGATCATCTCAGTCTTCCCTATTTCTGTCAGTACGTATTCCTGGTTGTTTTGTGACTATCTATAAGGACTCCCGACGGAGCCTTAAGGAGTAACAGGACGTTTCGTAACCAGATCGGTGAACGCCCATCCTACATATATGCGTATATATCAGAAGGGAGACGACAGAGTCTCAGGGATAGATTAATACATTACTATTTCGGGCTTATTCTGTCTTCATTCAGCCAATCATAACCCAGACCAGCAGCTGGAACCAGAAACACAAACGTGCGCTCGCACACCTGGCGCAGATGGTTCACAGACAGGATCTGGCAGATGGGTCATCTGTATCAATCTACCCGCATCTTCTATCGGCCTTCCTTATTACTATATGTATGTATATATGCAGAATGACATCACCGACAAAGAGAAGGGAGACTGAAATGGCCATTTCTAGTTTATTGGCCATTGTCAGCCAGCCATACCCAGTACCTGGGACTCAATCCCGCGACTTCCTGGTCAAAAGTCCAACGTCCCAATGCTGAACCGCCGGCTCGTTGTCCTGTGGGTCGCGGTAAGGGAGCGCTCACTGATCTGGTGGTGTTCAAGCCTAAGGGGTTGCACACCTGTGGGTTGGGTATGCTTGGCTGACGACAGCTAATAAGCCAGAACTGGCCATTCCGGTCTCCATTTTCCTTGTCACTAGAGTGAGTCTGCCGTTACGCGGCTGCTGGTGGGGCTCGTGGGAGAACTCCAAGACACGACAGGGTTACTGAATCCCTTAACGCAATCGGTGAGCGTCCCTCTAACAGTATATACCAGTGTATAGCATCCTTGTCACTTGCGTGTTTTTATGAAACAATCAACTTTTTTTCATAACAGATTAACATACCTAGCTACAATAGCTGTCTCCTGAGGTATATATTTCTGCTCCAAAACAGTGCTGTGGCCACTCTTCATCCTACAATTTGACCGCCTATAGATCACCGCATTCTCTGCGGCGTACTTGGCCAAATGACGCAGAATCTCCGAAAATGCCGGTCTGTCCTTCGGGTCCTCGCGAAGGCACCCACGCAGGAGATAGGAGAGGAAATCATTGGCGAACCAGTCGCACACGAAGACCACTAGGATTTCTCGCAACTCCGCCAAATTCCGTGGCTGCCCATCGTATTCCATGGTGGACAAGCTGCAAGCAATTTGCTGCTGTGTAGCCAACAGGTCGTCAGCAATAAGCGCTTGTTGTCGCGGATGTCTCATTCTCGCCAGGAGGTCCTGAGTGGGCCGAAAAAGTTCATAGCATTGCTGGGGATGTGGCGCAGAGTAGGGGATGGAAGAAGAGAAGGAGGAACAGGTGGCGGAAGTAAGACCGAGTATCTGTCCTGGACAGCCGAAGTCAGTCGTGGCGCCTGACGCCCGGAGAACACGCTGCTGATAAAGAGCGCCAGCCAGTAGGACCTCCAACTGGATGCAGCCGTAGCACCAGACATGACTCGGTTCATTGAGGTACTCAGTGAACGCTTCTGGTGGCGTTCTGCGAATAACCGACCTGGCAAGTCGTCTAAAGAGGCTCAGCGTGCTATACGTGTTGCTGTCGCACTTGGAGGCGGGGGAGTTCTCGAGGCATTTTAGGTGGGAAAAACTTGTCTGTGAAATCTGTAAAAAAAGGAAAGACGCCAGAGTGTAAGCATTACTGTGGAAAGGGAGTGAGTAGGATGTTGCATACTCATAACAAGCTACTGAAAGGCCAGTTGAGTGGATTGGACATCACGCCACCTGAGATGCCGACCGTAAACTCAGAAATTTTGGTACATCAGTGAAGACGGGGATTCCAAAATCCACTGGATCCCATGGTGCCAAGGATCGTAATTATAAGTTCAAGTTAAGACTTTGTAACCCCAGGAAGGAATGCCATCCCGTTGATCAACTTTCTACTTTCGCCGGATCCACTAAGGACTGACGAGCGGCGACCTGTCTCGCTCCCCTACAGGAGGTGGTGTTAGCCATGCGTCAGATCTGTCGGTTAGACCTTATTTGTGAACCATTGGCACAAGACGAATGCGCATTTTCGTGCCCCTAGTCAGGCGTTCCGTTTTGTACTACAACTCGCCGAATGAATGAACGAAAAGGTAAGTGGGACTGGTATCTCCGTATGGTCTAAGCGTTGCCGGCATCGGTTAACTTGCCCACGGAAGTAAATGTTTTGGCTCCTTTCCTGGTCGTTATAACAATCCGCATGAAAAACCGCCTTCTTCTGCTTCTCGGAAAATCCATCGAATGCGTCTCACATAACTGGACTGTTTCTTAGCTTGTGAAGAAGGAAACACGATTGTTGAGACAAGAGCTTTATATCAGCTTGTTATATACCTCCATTTGAACTGAATTCAACCATTTTGGAAAGTACAAATTTTCGACCATCCCTGCCATCTATGAGCTATTTCAGGCTGCCACCCCACCCCCAACTCTCGTCGGATTTTATGGCTGATCATGGGTCGCCAAGTTGCAACTTTTCACAAATAAGCTGACATCTCTATAGTTTGTCGCAGGACAAGATGACGGCGATATCCAAACACTCAAAGAGAGCTTGGATTATTTATGCCTAGGTCGTTGGAAGATAGTCACTCAGCAGTTAGTTGGAAATTATTTCCACGCGGTTCGTCAGTAATGACCATATCCAAGTTCCCAATGTTTCAAGATGTTATTGAATGGACCAACTCCCTACAAATGCCCTTTTGGCACCAGCTCCTCAAAATCATCCCCGCCCTTTACGTGGACACAGTTTCTAGAAAGATTCAGGCAGTTGCATATTCTAATTGGTCTTTGCTCTCGTAATTCACTCGTCTGTCGAATTTTGAGGCCTGCAGTTGTTCCGTTATCCTTTGTTACTCTTGTGGTTTACCTGAATTAATGAAACTGAGATATCCGCATTAAAATGCGGACTTTCTCTAAGTCATCTTTAATTACCAATGTTATTTTTTTTAGTTCTGGTTGACTTTATTGACCGATCACGCATTAGAGCCAACAGGAGTTTTGATAAGTGAATTGATGAAGAAAAGGCCCACACACTGAGAAATCAACAAGCTCGACTCGTAGTCATTTTCTTAATATCTCTCCTTGAAAGTTGGCATACCGGCAATTCGTGAACTCTCACCCCGCCAACTGTGGCCATGTATAGGAGTCGCAATAGAAACCGAGGTGTAACTTTTCACATTAATAACCCTACGAGGTATCTCTGTTAGTTTCTTTTTATTTGGACTTCCCATTTTCCCCTCAGTCAGGGTACCTCTTCAACTTCTTTCTGGAAACATTCTGTTGAAATATAAGGGGTCTATCCTCCTCGGTTCAGCTGTCATGCGGCTCGCAAAGGCCTTTTTTCTCAGACCATGTCCGCAGTGGGAAGCCAAAGGTGTAAATGGATGCATTTATAAGCATAAAATTGTGCAGAACGGACCTTCATACAGCATGAGGAGTAGCTGGCCAATAACTGGCATGTCAGCCGTTGTGTATTTCGGTTTTTCCAGATAAAACCGTCTAGTTAGCATTGCATGCCTTAATTGCAGACTTTTTGCATACAATTTGACCTTCCATTCTTGTGTTCGTTAGGGTAGGTCAACTGAACACTGTACACAATGGTGGGCATTTGTATTTATTCCCGCCTGCACTCACTGTCCGCATTGCCAATAATTTGCGCGAACTGTCTATCAGTAGTTGGTATTGATAGACGCACCTTTGTTGAATTCTGATACTGATTCGTATTTGCTAAATTTGATTGGCTAGTAGGCGTGACTGGATGTGCAACCTCCAGTTTCTGTTGCCTTAACTTGCCTGCTTATTTTATTTGCGTAAATGTTAGGGTTACAACTAACGAAAGTGCCCGCACTTAGGGTCAAGTTTAGGGTTATGGACAACGGTAGGCTGAAGGACCCCAAGTATCAGCGACCAGCCGAAGGTATGTGCGATATTTGATTTTGCATTGCAAAACTTTTAATACACTGACCTATAGCAACGTAGATGGAACGGTACAATTAAAAAAGTAAACAGTAAATGGCATTTAAGGGATGAACTTATTTAAGTTGACCGCCAGTTAAGGGTTTACATCGGGACAAGTAACCAGGGCAAGTTCAACCAATGAAATGAATGAAAAGATATGGAGTAGCCAATCGTACCGAAATTTAGTGTACAGCATAATAATGCCTATAAATGTTATGCCAACGATATCTGACCAACTGGGTTCTCATAATGCGAACAAAAGCGTAAGTAATAAGTAAACTCCTATGGTTTTCCTGTATGATCTTAGTCAACAAATCCAGCAAAAGGAAAAGTATGCTAGTACTTAATTCGGGGTCACGCAAGATCCAGATGGATGAGGTGGTTCTCAGTAGGCTATTTTTTCCCAAAATGAAGGTTCGTCGAATCCGATAGTCAAGGGAAGTGGACAAATTCAGCCATATCTTCGTATAGAAACCATAGAAATAATGGAGGAGGTAAATTCTGAGGAAGTGATTGAGTACTGTCGCTTTTTAATTTCCTCTGTGATTAATTACGAACCTGGAGTAGATCAGTTTATTCAAGGTCTATAGGCTCAGACCGAGAATTTTATAGGCAGTATAGTATAACCGATAAGGACAAGGAGACTGAAATGGCCATTTCTGGCTTATTAGCCGTCATCAGCCAGTCATACCCAACCCCGAAATGTGGAACACCCGAGGCTCAAACTCAGGACCTGTTAGTTAGAAGTCCACGCCTCTAACCACTGGGCCACGAGTCCGTTGTCCTGTCCGCTTAGATCGGGAATATACAATGGTAGGGAGCACTCACCGATCGTCTATATAATGCGCCGCTGTGTGGCTACTGGTTGGGTTCGGGAGAGCCCGTAAGGCACAACGGAACGATTGAGTTCCGTAAGAAAGATCGTTGGGCGCCCCCTACCATGGAGAATTTTGTTTGAATATTTGGATCGGAGCCACAGAGGATAACTGCGTAATATCTATTAACTGCCGACAGACCAAAGGATTTCTGCCTACTACATTAACATGCAGATGCAGACATCAAATGAAATAACAAATCTGAAGGCGCCACGCAGGTGGATATGTATGCAGATGTGTTCGGTGCAGACGACAGAAGTCCTTTGAGCTGACTCGATATTGGAGAAAAGCCGGCTCACGATCAGGACAATCACGAAGATTTGGCTGGCCTTTTTTAAAGGGAACAAGAGTGAAGGATTGTGAAAAAGACATTGGCGTGCCTCACACAACAGCCGTTGATTGGTACGCACTCTGTCAAAATGTGTGCTCCACGACACTCAGGAAGGGTGTAGAAGTACAAATGGACGGGACACTTATCGCCGGCCTAAGTAAAACGTCGGTAGACGAAAAGGACAGTGGTAGCTGGTAGGTATGCATGATGTCAGGCAGCGGTAAGCCTTATTCAAGCAGGTGAATGACAGAAGCCGGCCGGTCTGCCACAACGAAGTGGGTGGCCAAAGGCAACATCGTCATAACGGATGAGTGGAGAACGTACACTCGCCGGCCGTCCGAGGGATATCAGCATTTCACCGTCAGTCATTGCAAACACTTCAAGGACCCAACGACCAGACGACATACGAACTCAAACGAAGCCTATTGGAGCCGACTGAAAAGTAAACTGCGCGAAGGGGACCCGGTCTCAGGTCGAGCCATCTGGACGCAAAGTGATGAAGTACAATATAGCCTATGGATCGGCTTGAATGCCATGGGACTTAGGAGGCATGGGAAATTTTCTTCTCTCACGTAAGAGAGACATACCCTGCATAATGAAAAACAGTCGCGAAAGAAGCTGACAGCTGTATAAGTAATTTCTCTTACATAAATCTCTGAAATATCTCAGCACAGCCAAAGGTAGATAATGCTAAGATGAATAGCAACGTCTGCGATAAAGTTGTGAAGCCGAACGATTGCTTCCCAATAGTATGAACTAGGGTCTACGATGAACGCCCCAGTCGACACGATGATTTCTGAAATATCTCAACGGTAGACTGAAGATCCCCAAGTATTAGCGACTAGCTACAGCCACCTGTCTGCGACAGTCAATCAAACCGATACGATCGCTTCACAACTCTCTGAGCAGGTTATGCAGCGTCCGAAAGGCAATACCATGATCAGGGGAGTGATGAATAAAACACGACCTACTTAAACAAGCGTAGTAGGCATTCTTTGTATGCCGTAGATACTTAGGGGCCTTTACCCTATTCTTACCAGGTTATGTTCAAGATGAGGGATGAGGGAAGTGTTAGGGTAAGAGTTGCTTTCCGCATGCCGTCCTATTCAATCTTCCCATCTTGGATCATCTTCATCCCGCCCGTTTACGTGCTCTTAATTGGCACCTTCCTGCGCGTCGTTGAAGTAATAAAACAAAAACTCAACGGAAATGAAAGTTTTCTCATTGCCATGCCCGGGTTCCGTTAAATACCACGTCTATGTGGCCTACTGATAAAACTTACACTAGCATTCTTCCCATACTACAGGAACCATTCTGCTCTAAATTCTCGGTGGAGCTCTGTTAATTTCCTTCGTCCAGAAGAATTAATGGCTCCTTCATCAAACAAGAGGATTGGAGGCAAAACATCTGCCAGATAGTTGTGCTAGTTGGCTGTGCCTAACGCAGCTGCTGATAGCTGGAAGACTTAACATCAACAATTCACCTTAAACTAGGAAGTTAAATCCTAATCCTCTACACGCCTTTGACTCCATTTAAATGTACTCAATGGTCGGTACTGGTCCTAAGCCTACATGACCATACTAGCCTGTGTATGTAAGGTGCGACCACATGCAATACCAATTGAGAGTTTGACATATGACTAGCTGATGACGACGGAGAAGCATCAAGCCGCTATTCCATTATCGCTGTTGTTGTCGCCAATCGCTGCTCAGTCGTTGAACGCAGGTCACCGTGCGAACGCCTGAATGGGCTATACACATTCAATTTCGTTTTATATGGATCTGAGAATCGACGAAGTTTAAAGAGTATTTTCTGTTTTTTTAGTTATTTATTGACAGTCCCGTCTGATGCACATGAAGCTCAAAATCCAGACTTACTTCCTGTCCATTCAGGCGTACATGCTTGGTGTAGAAGGATATATTAGGCATCAACAGTACATGCGTAAGACTCTATTTGATCGATATCCTACTTACCAAGGCGCCAGTTGGAAAGGGGGTTACGGAGATCTTTGCTGTTCGTTGGGCATTGACAGGCTTTTGTTGAGATTCCAATTCATCGCGGTCATCGACTTCGAGACAGCCGACTACATCGCTTCTTAAGCTTCCGAGGTTGTTGAAATAGAAGGAGGCCCTGCCTTCTGGATTTCGCGTCTTTTGCCATAGACAGTTTCTCCAGAATGCAATCTCAAGTTTACAGGTATAATCAGCTCCAACTAGGACGGAGGAGGAATCCAGCATCTGAAGGTGAAACATTCTTAAGCTCCTCTCTAAATAGCTACTGGTACATACCTACTTTAAACTTTCTAGTACACACTTAAATATACGTTTAGGACAGGTTTTTAAAGGATCTTCAAAACTGCTACCGAAAAGCAGACTTATAGGCTTACGAGGTCAGGAATATGCTGTTTGGAGAGGAACTCGAATCCAGACACGATCTGGTGCAACATTTTGAAGAGTAGTTTCGTTGAAAGCAAACTGGACTTGTATTCTTTGGAGGTGCTCAGCGCCTCATCAACTTCACGTAGCTCCTAAAAAATCAAATAATGCAGGTGCTCACTTAGAGGATTTCTTGAAAAACGCACCTACTAACCCCCCCAAAAGAAGCAACTTAGAATGTCCCAAAATGTCACATTGAAGACCTTGTCAATAAAGCAGCTGGCTGCATGAATCAGGTGGCGGTGTCTTTTCATATTTTCCCTGACGCAGTTAATGTCACCGCTGGCTGAAAATATTTGGGTGCAACTGACCATTCCAGCCTCGCTGATCTTCAGCAGGAGCCCCTCTTAATTACACAACGAGCGTCGTTATGCGTGGGCTATGATGAGAGGGGGGTCCAACAAACGATACTCTCTCGTGACTTTGCATATCTGGTAGAAAACGGGAGTAGGTACTCCCCCGTACTACAGGTGGCACTGCGCTAGATTCTAAGGGCATTAGAGTTGGGGTAACGTTCGGGATTAGGGCTAAGGTTAGGGTTAAACTGAGTGTTAGGATAAGAGTCAGGACGCGAGAATAGTTACCAACCTAGAATTCAGCGTAGGATCACTTGCCACGCTGGGTTAGTTATCTCCGTGTCCTTTCGATTATCCTAGGTTACCGCAATAGGATACGAACTTGCGAAGCAATTTCAATATTCGACACATAGTGTGAAGATCACAAGGCATTCTAAACCCCCCGGTTTAGGTTGGAAAATTGGCGACTGCAAATACGCCGAAATGTGCATTTCAATCTCTCTTCTCACAGCTGGCAACTCTTCTCAGTACTAACGGGTTCCAGTTCACACATGAGTGAAATAATTTCGTGCAGAGCAGGATTTTACCAAAGGAAACCTGAGTTCAGAGGTTTTCTACTTTCTGCAGGTCTAACTAAATGCCTAGTCCATGAAAAAAGTAATCGCCTGGGAATGCAACCTTAGGCATTGATGCGAGAAGACTAAATGTGACCGTCAACAGAAACTTCAGAAACCTCTTTCACTTATGCATTTTTTTCATGTTTTCGTGTTTATGCCGGTGTCTGTCTTCCCTGGCAGGCGAATACAAAAAAAGCTGAAAGTACACCTAGCCGGGGAAGTCTTCGCAAAATACGGCTGCTCTATATCGTTCTGCATGTATGTTTCAGTCACAGTCCACATAACCACTGAAGGAGCTGTGATCTGTGATTGCGGTACTTTTTTGGGATAGTCAACTAGATCGATTTATTAGGACGAATGGCAAGTTTCCAACGTTTCCTAGTTGAATTCTTCGTCCATATCCGTTCCTGTTATTCCTTATCGGAGTAGGCAGTAACCAATGTCGTATAATTTCGGTTGCACTAAGGAAGCAGTCAGCAACCATTCATGAAGATAAGCAATTTAAGAATCAAAACGGAGGATGAAGGTATTGACGGTTGAATTATCACCTATTTTTGGGTACTCACAACTGGGTGGGCTAAACAGTTTGTGGCCATCTTTTCAGTCCTGCATGAACTATTCCGACGACTCGATCAATTGCTGCGCTCTAACATAGACAGTTTGTGCGCCGTAACCGACAAGGTCCACCGTGTGCTTCACAACAGGCACGGTGACTTGCCCGTTAATTAGTTTACAATGGTAGTAGACTTGCGCAGCGTCTATCGCACTCTCCTCGCCTGGGCTCGGTGTCAGGGAGAGTCAAGCATACCGGAGGCGTAAGAGGCTGCAGGTGACTGGCACGACTAAAGCCTGCGAAAATCGATCTAGCTCCTCTGCGAGTCTATCGTATTTACCGCACGACGCGTTTTAGGGGCACTTCGCGAGTGTAAATACTTGAAGAAGTACACAGGAGGGAGAGAGTGCTGATTGCTGAAATACCACCTATTGTGTAGCTTTACAAGTAGGTAAGCTAAACGGTGTTCAGTTATCTTTTATTGAGGCGAGGAAAAGTAATTTACCGTAGCACGTTAATTATCTTTCGGTCAAAGATTTAGTCAAGACATTGACTAAAAGTGACAGCGTACCTGCATCGGCTCTTAATGTACAGTATTAACTACAGAAATTTCCGTTGATAAGTCTTCAATAAGCTTGTGGATAATTGTCTGAGTCAGCTGCTTCCATGTTGACAGCAGGGCCGAATCTTACTCCATAGCCGTACCTGCAGTAGACAAGCCTTAGTCTAACCCTTAACCCAACCTCTAGCCTTAACCCCCAACTGGTACGGCAAGGAAATAGGACATTACCGGTAGAAGCGATGAAAATACATAGTGGGTTAGAAAGCTAGAGAGTTTTTTAGACTGATGACCCAGGGTGAATACAAATTCACCTCTTCAGTCCTGAAGTTAACAAAATCAATATACGTCACTCCAGCCTGACGTTGAACATCCGCAAATTGAAACGACGTAGCGTGTGCTATAGCCCGACTGCCGCAGCGTAGGCAGATGCAATTTCAAATCCCGGATATTTCTTACCTAAGTCTGGAGTCTAGATTATATTGGGAATGGTGACTTAAATCTGCCCTTCTATTTGTCGGCAATGCTCTTGATAAACATAACTCTCCTTATTTCGTTTCTGGGTCTACATCTCTTCAGCACATCAGCCAAATCCTACCTACAGCATTTGGTTGAACAGTGACACTCTTGAGGATATCAAAAGTGCGCAGTTTGGACTATGTTCTGTAAAAGGAAAGGCATGAAGACATTTCAACGGTCGCACATCGTATACCAAGGCAAATCAAGTTGGTTGAGATCCAACTTCTCTCACCGAAAACCAACCATTTAAACTGTTCGTCATTTAAGGCCGGACTCCGTGGTGTACCAAAGCAAAGATCATTATCTCCGGCATACCAAGTGTCACTGTTCCGGCTGATCTTGTGGATTATGTCGAAAAGCCGGGTTATCATTTGGAGGTGTGACACGTCGTAAATTTCAACTCATCTTTTAGATCAACAACACATCATGCATACTGATAAGTGCTTCCTCTAAACATCATGATTGTCTTCACGTTTGTTTGTGTCTTGAGTAGAGCTCGAGTACAAGCCCAGAAGGTGAGGCGGACACAGCTATTTGTCTCTGCTCAAAACCCCTTCGTCAGCAGAAATATTAACTCCAACCCTCCGTTCCTTGTTTCTTTGTGTTATCTAAGACGTCCTTGTCGGTTGGGGGCAGATATTTCAGACGCTTATGAGCAGGACATTGAATGTGACCTTAGGTTTGTACAACATGGAGCAACAACAGGGTACTGGGAGCATTGATAAAGTTTATAATTATTTTCAAAGCAATAATGCAACCTTTGGCGCCCTACTCTTGACCTTATATGATAGTTAGTATGGGAGGCCTTGATTGACCGCAGGTGATTGAATTCTTTCAGTGAAAAAATAGTTTGCAATGTGCTTATTAAACAAACTGATAACCAGCACAAAATAGGCGGTAAATAGGGGAGTTTGCGGTGAATTCACTCATCAAAAATGGAAAAAGATTCTACCAGATTGTAGAAGTCTCTCTAACAATTTACTTCGTTGGGTACTTTCTGTACTGAAACGCGTCTCTACGACAGTATTCCTTGGAACGCACTTAGTCGATCGCGACAGCAAATCGTTGGCTATGACGTCTGTGCCTCAAAAAATAGCTGCTATGCGTATACTGTACATAATTTTGTGGCCGCGATTTTGAGCAACCCTCGACGAAAAACATAACAACTCTTTAAAGCAAGCATAGACAGCGGAGTTTGTTGGAGAAAATTAACTTCGCGACAGCTTATCAACTGCAGCCTGTCGTTGCATAGCACAGATAACAAGTGAGAAAGATACAGAGGTTTAAATTTCCACCGAGAAAATCAATATAAAAACAGCAAGATCGTGGTATACTGCACGTAGACGAATCAATAAAATGATGACTTAAAAACGCAACATAGGAAAGAAGATGAGGAAGTTAACACGCCGAGGGATTGCGCGAATCAAACGGGCTCAGATTCACCAGGGCAAGCTGAGGTTGACCACGTGGTCTAACTGTTTTCATAGGTCGGTTTCTTCCGCCGTATGTAGGCGACCTCCAGGGCAGTTGAACACCTGCCCAAATGGCTTCTAAAGCAGGAGAATAAGATTTCACGGTCTTCTATTACAAAGCATCTCCTTGATAGCAGCCATTCTGTTGACATAAAACGTCTTTTTGAGTGTTTGTTCGAGCACGAACTACCCGGTTATTGCGCTACCTTGAGGCAACCTACATACGACGGGAGAAACCCGACCTATGTAAACAGTTAGACTACGAGGTCAAACTCAGCTTACCTGAGCCCTTTTGATTTTCAAAATCCCTCGGCGTGTTTACTTCCCCATTTTCTTTCCTATGTTGCGTTTTGAAGTTACCATTTTATTGATTAGTCTACGTGCAGTATACGATGACCTTGCTGTTTAATATTGATTTTCTCTGTCGAAGTTCAAACCTCTTTACCTTTCTCACTTATTATTTGTGCTCTTCAACGACTGAGTGCAGTTGATAAGCCATCGCGAAATTAACTGGTACCAACAAATTCTGCTGTCCATGCCTACTTTAAAGTTTACAATCATTTTCAACGAAATAAGGCTATCTTTTGCGCCTCATTCTTGACCTTATATGACAGTATGGGAGGCCTTGACTGACCGCAGGTGATTGCATTTCTTCAATGAAAAATAGTTAACAATGTGATTATTAAACAAACTGATAATCACCACGAAAATAGGCAGTAACTAGGGGAGTTTGCCGTGAATTTATCCATTTAAACTGGAAAAAGATTCTACCAGACTGTAGAAGTCTCCCTGACAGCTTACCTCTTCGCATTTTAATGACCCTAATCGTCATTTTCGTTATTGCTAGAAGAGGTTCAGTTGTTTGCTTTTAACTGGATCATCGGGTGATTGAATGAATTGAGAATTCGTACCGAGCTTCCAGAATCGAAGCAGACCCTGTGTAGTGCCGACCAAGAAAGAACGATAAAAGTTTCTCTTGCCTTTGTTGGTATTTTCCCTATGTACATAATGTCAGTCGCTGCGCGACTCCCTGAAAGGGCTTTACATTGCGCCCAAAGGCAGAGCACGAAGAGCCTGACACGTAACCTGACTGCTAGACGTCTTTCCACCATGGCTAGTGTTCCCAGCCATAACCGGCAAGATGACGGAAATTCGGTAAAGAATTTGAATGACTAACGTTCGGTGATCTCAGTTCCTGCATATCTGGGATTGGATATATCTGTTTGACGACGGCTGACGAGCCAAAAAGTGGCTATTTAAATCTTCCTTGCCTCTGCCCATTTTCCGTCCTGCATAGAGTACCGTAGATTTACATCGCCTAGCTAGGTCGTCATTCCGCCTTGTTGAGCCGCCGATAGTTTCAAGTCAGAAATCCCGGAAACAAGGCTGAGAGATAAGCCCACGCTTCACACCTACCTGGAGATGATCTGATGACTGGAAGTTATTCAGAGGACTAGTTGCGAACCCACGTTTGTTTTTGAAAAACCATCATCGGATCAGTGCATATATATGTGAAGGGAGTCAACTAAAGCATGTCAGTAATTAAAAAAATCGAGTAAAGTTCGCCTTAAGACACAGGAGGGATGCAGAAATATGCTGCGGGAGTGACAATAAAATTCATGCCAAGAGTTGGGTGAGAGCGGAAGGCAGCGGAGAGGTGCATGATTGGCGCGGAGAAGGTAAGGATGGACTGTCATCTCAGACCACCCCATTTACTCCTTTACTTGGTCGTACGAATCGACGCTCATCCCAAAGAATACGAGAACACCTCCCGGTTTGACTGGGAAAAGAGGACGTTGGGTGTATAAACAGCGCTATTCTCGCACATATCATTGATTCTGATCATCTTGTGGACAACGGTAAGGCTTTTCTTGTGATTTATAAGGTTCCTTAAAGCTACCCTAAGCTACTGGGCCAGCGACTATAAGTAGTAGCTAAAGCGGCCGCTACCAGCTTACGAAAGTCGGTCTTGTGCGCACAAAAGAACCTTGTTCAGGCACCACGCCTACAATAGTCAAAGGGCGACTCTCCACGTCCATCTGCTCTCACCCCGCCCCTGACAGGACTCTTATTACCCCCCTTCTCATATTTTCGCATGCCGCCCATGTCTTAGGGCGAAATTTGGTCGATTTCTCTAATCGTTGACATGTTTTGCTGGGCTCCGTCCCCATGTGGATGTACTGGTCTGACAAGATCCTATCGAGCACAAGCGTATACCCGCCAACTGGTCTTCCAAATATTGGAAGTTAATTTGGGTACCCAACACAGACTTTTAATGGATACAGAAGTGGAAAGGGCTAAGTAAACACGTCCGCGAGCGGGAAGTATTAATAGAACATCATCCGGTTGGACACTGGCGACAAAAAGGGGGTTGAATGTGAGGCCATCGCCGCTTACAGGTTTGAAATAAATAGAGCAGCTTTGGCTTCCGTCAACACTTTGGTGTTCATATAATTCGGGTCGTAACTTAAGCCACCCGATAGCATGTAACCAATCCACTGCGAAAACAGTCGACACCAGTTGTAAACATTAACCTACCTAAGCAAGTAAGAAACCACTTGCTTTACACTACACGATCTTAGTTATCTGTGAATTCAGGGATGAAACTGCAAGAGAATGTAAACTGCTCGATCGATTTGGCAAAGACTCAGGCATAAAGGGAGCTCCTAGTCGACGCCTTTCAACTGCAAAAGTTGGATAACTGCACGGACCGCTTAATCGTTCAAAAGGCTTTGTTTCGTGCAGACTGGAGTCCGCTGTACCACAAGTGCCAACTGCTGTCACACTGTTGCTTTTCTAAGGTTTTTTTCTTAAGATCATTATCAACGCTCGTATTGTTTGTAGGAAGAATCTTTCCTTTCCTGGGCGGTTTAGATTCCCACCAGAACTCACCATCAGCGACAGTGACAGACAAGGACTGTTGGCGCCGAACAGTTGTAGTACCTTCGAGATGAATTTGTTACGACAAGAAACATCTGGAATCGTTTAACGGATCTGGTGCAACTGCAAACAAAACAACCACGTCGGAGAAACTGGAAGACTGCTCTGGATGCGAATCGCCGAACAAGCGGCAGCGGTGCGGAGAAATGACGCCAACTCTCATGTTGCGGTCCATTCGAAGAGACCTGACCACAAATTCAAGTTTGATGAGGCTAAAATTCTCCCTAGAGGTAACAACTGCGTGGGCAGCGAGCTGCCTGTGTCATGGTTTATGGGACTATAATCTATCAACAAGTGCGTTGAAATCCCCACCGCACATTCGGTGCTGAGACTTAGTCTGACCAAAGTAATAAGTCACTCTGAGAGCGCGTAGGCCAGTGAGCCGGGTGGCCGAGCAATCTCCACACCAGAATCCGAAACGAGTGGTGGACTTTTAACCGTGAACAGTTTTTATGCCGGTCATCAAACAATCAGAGCATCACCGGGCAACCAACCTCGACGACAGGGAGAGGGGCTAATCTCCATAAGTATGCGGTAGCCTAGTGACTAAATCCTATAAATATTGCAACCTTCTGTGCGTGAATCACTCGTGTCTGATAATATCTCTGATAACGGTTTTGAACGTGGACCCATAATGTCAGGCGAATGAAGCTTTTGTTTGCTTTTTTGTCGCATCAGTTACTTCCTGGAACTCGCATCTTCGTTTGTATCGACATCTAATAAAATTAGGAGGTCTCATATCTATCGCGGCAGTTCATACTTGATGCGCAGCAATAATGCATCTCGCTTTTCTCGAGTCACACTGGACTTCAGGTGAGAGGGACCAATATATGGAAAATCTGGGAAAACCAGAAATACCACAACTACTTAAAGTGGAATTCAAAGCAGGCGCACTATATAAAGCAAAACTTTGTTCTCGAGAATGTCCACCACTGAAGGCAGAAAGTGTAGGTCTTCGATAGCTCACGCATGGTACTCGCAAGTTTAAGGATGGAGCGTTAATTTAAGTGTCTCAGCCCTTTTGCATTAGGAAAGGAAGACAAAAATCGCTCACCGTTTCATTCTGTTCCATTGACAGGTGCCCTTGAACACTCGGCCATTTTGTTTTAACCAACAACGATTGACGCAAAACTATCCAATTTACTCAAGACTATGCCAAGTTCATTACTCTACTGATCTAAATTTGAAGCTTCCAGGACATTATCCAACTACTCACAAAACGATATGTAGCTGTTCTGGTCTTTCGGTGAGAGGGACGTGGGGAAATTTCAGACCCGCCTACACGAGCACCAACTGGCAACTCGGAGACTAGACCCGAACTCACAGCTCCCAACTCACGTGGGACAAACTGGCCACAATTTTGACTTTCAAGGAACAACCGTCCAAGCTGGGCCGTCTTAAGGACAGAGCGTCCTACACTTGAGGCTTCGTACTCAGATGCCAGTTCCACCAACAGGCATCTAAACCTTCCGACGGCCCATAAAGTCCTACGCTACTACATACTCCTTGACCAAGACAAGACGGTTACACATTTCGAAGTCAGAAGGTGCAAAGGTCCCCAGGCGCTCCGCATTAGATTCACTGTCGTGATGTTGATTTTAATCCACGATTTCGTAGTGAGGAACCGCCGTGATAATAACTCACCCTCTCCAGGAACTTCCTCAGCCTGCCTCTTTGCATGTATTCATAGACAAAGAGGTGTGGTTGAACACTCTTCACGATTCCATGACATGCCAGGAGTGCGGGGTTACGCAAATGGAGGGAGAGGTGAGCTGAACTGAGTAGAAGAGATTCCTTGTCGTCGTTGACTGTTCCCGACACCGCTCTCAGTGGTGAGGATGTAGACAGACGTACGGAGCGAAGGAAGATGGGTAGGCGACTGGTGACGATGGAACTACCCAGACCAGCATAAGAGACGGAACTGAAGGAGGAGGAGGCGGTGGTTGAAGAAGCAATCTGATGCAGAGGAGAGGTGGTAGTGGACGAAGTTGAAATGGCCTGGGCAAGGACCGGCACGTCACCACATCCGTGGAGAGTGATGTCCTTGGTGATTGGATAGGCAGCGTTTGTAAGCAGATGACCTCGAAAAACCTCACCGAAATGACCTTAAGGCAACGGAGGGGAAGAGAAATATAACGCTTATGGACGTATCCCTGGAAGCTATAATACTGCACGTGTGCGTAAATCGATTAAAAAAAACAACTAGGTACAATGAGAGACATTGTACAGTGCCCCTTTAGAGAAAGCTGTAGTACATGATTTGAAAAGTATTTGATGTTTATGAAGATGGCTCCAGCGACTGTGAGATGTTAAATGCCATTTACAAAACTACTTTTATTGACTTTTTTTATCAGATATTGCTGATGAGAAGAACTGTTTGCCAGAAATAAATTAAAAGGGCATTTTCATATGCCGGCAAACACTGAGTTGTAAACAGGTGAAACAGGGTAATGCGCATCCCACACAATACGGAAATACTCGAATACGAAAAGCCAAAATGAATCGACTTCCTCACCAGTCAATACCTCCGAAACAAGTTTATGGATCGAAGGCAGATACTGCCCTTGTACGTTCACTTTAATGCGTTTTATGAAGTTAACTGAACAACAAAATGAGTCAGTATTAACTCTAGAAAAGTAAAATTTCCTTTCAACTGAGCTAGGCACTAGATCAGAACCTCATTGTGCGACTAGTTATCGTCAGAGACTAGCCTTATGAAATAATAACTGAAATTTTGAAATGCATTTTCGATTAGAAAGGGTTTCTTACGTGAGGTTATAGTGTTGGTTCCCATGCGGCGTAATCCCTAAATTTATTTGACACGCCAGAATGATGAGTTTTAGATGCGGTTTCTTATCCGCCGCCTGCAAAAGCCGCACTCTGCATAAATGACTGTTTGAACTGTACGCAGTTTTATATTGATTTTTGGTACCTTTATAAAGCCCAATATACTTTACGGCAAACACATACATAAATGTTCTTTTTGTAGGCATTTGATAAACACTGGCATTTTTAGAAATATAAATAACGATAGAAAGGGTGATCAAGGTTTTAAAAAGGTTTTCCTATTCCAGAATAGTTTTGATCTCCATGACCATTAAGTCCGAGTTTGAGATTCTCAGTCTACAAACTACATAATTTCCGTGCAAGAACCTTCATTAATTCCCCTAGGCCATTAAGAAAATTCCATAATGGACTCAGAAAATTGTCTAATGGATGAGAACTATGCTGTTTATCTCTTGAGGAACATTAATGATCGGGTAGATGCGATATCATTTGAATGGAAATTGCGTGGTTTTAGAAAATCACAGAGTTCGAAACTTTTCAAAACCTAAAAATCCGCTTTCCCTGGGTAAACAGTCTAGAAGAAAAGTCCTTCTTTACAAAGTAAGCACCAAAAGAACATTTTATGTGCTTTCAGTAACATATATTATAATTTTTAAGGGCACCATGAATCGATAGAGAAATGCATACAATTTAAGCATTCATTGCTTGCAGAGTGCTGCTATTGCAGATGGCTGAAAAAACTGCATTTAAAAGACAACACCCTGATGTGGCCGATGCACCACGAAATTATGCCGTATAATCATGAACACGACAATCCCACATAAACAACTCCTCCTAATCGAAAACGTGTTTTAAAATTGTTCTTTATATTTTGTGGGCTTAATCTCTAACTGCAAATGCTCGATCATCAATCAAATGAGGCATTGCAACAAGGAGATCACTCTGATCATAATGGAAAAAGCATATAGTCTTACTTTACAGTTCTGAGTAGTCGCGGAACAATGGCCGTTCCTCAAGAGACCAAAACTTCACCTACACAGCAAAATATTTGACGACACAAACGATAGAATCATCACAAAATGTTCTATGGATCAGGTCTAACAATTTAGGATGTGCTTAGATGCTGCCGGACTACACAAAAAGCCCAGATTCATATTGCCTCCAACATAGTAACGCGTACCAGTCACATGTATAAATCCATTGTCCACAAATCCACGGGAGAAGTCGTCGTGTTCAGTTGACTACTGGTCTAATTTCCGTAATTCATATTCAGAGAAAAGAAGCTCAATACGTTTAAAGTGAATGACGATTGTAGCAAAAAGGACGATTAAACTTATTTTTTTGGTCGTTGCTTATTGATATGTCAGCAATGTCATCATAAACTCCAACATCTGGATAAACATGCTAGTGAATCAGTGGTAGCAATTTGGCACAAAGCACATGTTCGGGTGATGTTAAGTTTTCTGAGAAATTTAAAAATTGAACTGATTTAAATTCACGATGGATGCCAAATAAATACGAATTTCGCATGATTCCGCTTATGGGTCCTAACTAGTTAAATACAGATCGTGGAGGACAGGAAGCAAGTAAATCCATGTTGTGATAATTTTCAATTAGCATAATCACGTGGACAAACTGTGTTCCTAAAGAATCAGCATTTAGAGCGCTTATGTCGACTACATGTCTACATTCGTGAAGGCGTTACTGTTATCTCCTCCAAAAATACCTCTGCGTGACGCCTGAGTGCCAGTATATGGTTTGCTTTTTTGAAACAATGTCGTCACTAATAGCAAGGCTGACTTGTTGGTGGATATATCATACATCCAGAACATTGTGCTAATTTTGTTTCCTTATCTCTCTATAACTTTCGATTGGTTTGTAAATGAATCCTGGATCGACCTGACAGAACATGCAACTGAGTCCTTTGGATACAGAACATCTTGATTCCATTCGAGCATATGTAAAGTCATTGCAGGTAATTTATTTATCAGGGACGACTTGAAGCATTCGAATGTTCATATCATCGAGAGTTGCTTAGTCGGGGTATGTGTACACGATTTTACTCGTGCTGGAGAGCCTTAACTTCTCCAAAATAAATGATTCATCCATATTCCCCTTACTCATCGTCATCATACTGGGTAAAGAGACTGCTATTCTTGGATTTTTATTAACCGCAACTGCGATCGCCATACAGTCGAAGTTTTTAATACAGCGGTGATGAACATCATGCTTGTTTTAAAACTTTTCTGACTGTCGATGCCCAAGTCGGTCGAATGGTATGTCATTCACTTGTTGTAGCGCGCGCTGCTGAAGTAATTTACATAATATTCACATTAACACTGCTTATCACAGTCCTTTTCCAAGGCAGTGAAACGCTTGTTCTAACTGCGATATTTAAAATAGCTTAGAATTCATATTTGGAATAGATGTTCAAATGAAAACGCACGCCATTGGTTTAAGTAGGGTAGGCATTGTTTTTCACAGGTAGAGGGTCGACGTTGAGATAAATGGTGGGTGTGGTAAATAAACTTTTTGACTCAATATCATTGTGTTTTCTTGCGAGCAGGGCTCTCATGTGATCGGGAGAATACATAAATCGCAATCGGCTGAATTGATATGTGTAGCCGGTAACCAGTGCCATGAAATGTTAGGAAGAATTAACTTAGTGGGCTGCAATACTGCTTATAATGCTTTGGATCATCAAAAATCAGCATTCTCTTTTGAGTAGGAAATTTAAAGATGTAGTTGTCTACCAAACTGGTTCAAGGAAGGATATGTTTGCCTGATTTCTCTATAAAATAGATTAGGACTGAAAGAAAATGAGAAACATTTATGCTTCATAAATAGCCATGTTTAACCGAGTGCGGTTTTTGAATAAGGTTAAAAGAAGCACTTTTGAAAGCCAGAATCATGCAATGGCTGAAACGCTTTGCAATTATGCTGCACGATAATAAGTGTTGCAAATCGGCTAAAGTAGGCCTTCCTAACCGAAAATATTGGGGCATTTCGGCCCACAGTCCTTGTGATATGTAGGCAGAAATGTTAATTGAAGACCCACTGCGGGCCCCTAACGGAAAATTTACCGAAGTGAGGATATCTCAGAGTAACAGACCCGCGTTCCAACAGAGCAGCCTCTCCAGCATCAGTAGTCGCTTTTTGTAACCAACTTGAAAATTAGGACACTATTTGCAGGCAAGCGTTATGTCCGCATAACTACAATTTGGCAGACATTTTACCTTTTGGGAGGAAGATTCGAGTTGCCCTTTTGATCAAATCCACCAAAATGAGAAGGTATAAAATGAATACTGAACAAACGCTCTCTGTGGAGAGGAATCTCACCCCACTCATAAGGCAGCTGATTTGTTATTTAATGAAATTTTATCTGCACGCCAATAGGAGCTGCAAAATAGATTTTTTCAATCTTCCACGCTTTCCTCTGAAATAGAGTCAGTTAGGTAACCGGTTCACTTCTTCAAATTTACAGGTGTTAAAAGAAGTAGCCCGGTCGAGGTAGAAAACTATTTTCAACTGTTTGTCGACCTCTGCGAAGACAGTTACGGGATATAATGTCTTAAACTAATGTTTTCATTACTAGCAGTTTGCATTTGGGGACGGAAGACATTTGCTGGTCTAGATAATAGCTTTGCATAAACATCGCATTTGTGCCCGACATTTTCACCGCTTTAGGGTATTTATGGTGTCAAAGTTGCATTTAGAGGTCTGTCAACCAATCGTAACAGGTAGGACGACATCCTTCGACTGTAACACGAAACAGTCTTGGGTGGATGGGGTGGCCAAGTCCGTTGTCTTATTCAGTAACGCCACAGAAGATACAGAATTATGGAAATACACTCAGGCGCTGGAGTATTTGGTTCTTATTGCCGGAGAATAGCGTCCTAAAGTGAGGACATTCAGTGGAAATGATCTTGTAATCGTAATGGGATTTTCTGTAACTGTCAATGATGCAAAGGGGTAGTCTAGACATAGTAATGAACATAGGATTATTGCGCACTGGATAGAGTTCGGAGACCGCCTTTCAAAATCTATCCTTTGTGTGAACATTTAAGCTCGTATTAGAAGGCCAGGTACTCCTTGCGGCAACACTGTGCACATATGAAGACTTCGTTAAGCACCATGTGCTCCTACTCAGTTGCAATCACCCTAATTTCAACACAGTTTCGTCATTAAAAGCGACTCATAGAATAACAGTCCATAATCTGTCCCTTCTAAGTCTCTGAAAATTTTAGAATACCATGCACGTTTTCGGGAAAGCATCTTTAGTACCGTGTGCAAAAGTTATATTTTGGTAGAGAGTACTTGAGCTATGCGGCCAAAAAAGGCTTTTAATGCGAAACATCGAGTGTCAAGCGTCCTTTCTTGACAGATATTGAGAAATCTTTGCGATGATTTTCGATGCCTTCGTAGTTCAGATCATCGTTCAAAAAACCACCCCAGAGAATGAAATGAGTTATGCCGATTTTGAAACAGATGCCTTTACCATAATACTGTTATATCAGTAATTCTTCCTTAGTCGGCTAGGATTAAGGCCGCTGTGCAGCAGTTTGGTGATTAGTTTTTAAGTCAGGACTTGCGGGTTCACCAAAGCTGCTTACGAAAACTACTATTTGATCAATCGATATATTCATATTATTTTGGAGGACGTTTGTCGACCGAGTTACGGAACCTGCTCATCGCGGTGTGCTTTGGAGTTCCACGGGCAGTCACGCAGCAGCTACTGGTATCAGTAGAACAAGATTACCGACAGAGACATGGGAGACTAGAGTTGTCACTCCTGGCTTAATAGCCGACATCAGCCGTGGCTGTACGACTGTCTGCAAGACGCTAACTCGAGCCTTAAAGCAGAACTAGACTGTCAAGTCACGTAGCCCTATCGGCGAACGTTATTCCGACATAATTAATAATCCGATCGTAACCGACAGAGGACGCGTAGCCTAATCGGTAGAGCGTTCGGCTCAATGGCCAGAGGTCTTGGACTCGAACCTCGGCTGTAGCTGTACAACTGTCTGCAGGGTGGAACTGGGCTATCTCGTCCCGTAGCCCTTTTGGGGAATGTTATCCCGACGTATTTAATGATCCAGTCGTAACCACAGGACAGCGGTCGCGTAGTTTAATCGGTGGAGTGTTCGACTCGATGGCCAAAGTTCCCGGGCTCGAACCCCAGCTGTTGGAAACCTGTGGTTAGGCAGGGCTGGTTGACGGCGACTGACAAGCCAGAAATGACTGTCCCAGTCCCCTTGTATTTGTCGATACTCTCCTGCGTATTTATATATTTTTTAGTAATATGACCACTGTCAGATATTTTCTGAGGAAAATTCCCGACTGTATGCAGTTTACTGAATCGAAATACTTGTAAGACAGGGTAAACGTTAAAAAGAAAATAAAACCCTACTTCCAGCACCTCATACAAAGGTGGAATACTTGACAATAACACTGACGCATCAAGAATGTTACGTTTATTGAATTTTGAAAGGCAGGATTTAATTGATGCGATCATCGAAAAAAATTGGGAGGATTTTAACTCTCAAATGACGTCGTTTTCTGACTACGATTTTTCCGGGAGACTGGAATAACCTTCACGCGGGATCGAACCTGCCCTCACTGCAACTTATTCGTGCAAACTCAATTTGCCGTTTCCCTTTTGGAAATGTTGCCTACTCTTTCTTACACATCTTCCAATCTACATTAATAAATTATACGTTTTGGTCTCGACATTCGCTTCTCTCGCGCCAATCTCAAGTCCTGTTACCCGTCGCGTGACGAAAGTATCTTCGCTTTAATAAATTAATATTTGACACCACAGATATATTGGGCAGGACGAATTAAATTGCCATCATTTGTGATGGGACTCTGATGCTATCCCATAAAGCTTCCATAACCGATCGACTGCTCTGAATAATATAGACCCTTATTTATGAGCGCGTTTGCACTCCAAGGAGGAATACCCAATATATTTCAAAAAGAACCATTGAACGTTGTAGAGTTTGAGTGTTGAATCTTTTGGACCATCACATAAATTCTTGCATTCCATGCTGTAAGGCTTAAAAAGTCAAAAAAGGGTGAGAAGGCTTGTCGGATGCGCTCTCCTGCTGCAGTAATTTTGGCAAGGGTACGCTTTTTTCGGGATATTGTACTCGAAGTAAGTTGGAAGCATCAGTCAGCTTCATCGTGTAAGTGAGACATATATATATATATAGTGGAAGTGAGTCACTTCATAACAAGCGTTGTTCCAAGCCCTCGCCATTTAGAGCAAAGTCTTTGCAGTGCGAAATCTTCGCAGTCTTCAGATCAAATCCCTAAAAAATTGGAAGTCATGTGACAAGTACTGTTCCGCCGACATTATTTTGGATACTTTTGATAATTTCGTGAAAAATAATAAAGTCGAGGTTTACTAAATAAAGTTACGACAAAAGGTGTATGGGTACTCGATTTCGAAATGAATTTTGAAGAGTTGTTTCATGCGGTGGCAACGTCAAAATCTCGCACAGGCAGTTTTGCAAGTAAAACACGCCCTGCTGATAAATCTGCCGGTCGAGCAGGTTTTGACCAAATCTGATATAATTTAGTTGAAATGTCTAGATAGAATGTAGTCTGGCTCAGTCTGTTTAAGTTTCCTTCCACAATATCTGACGAACGTATTCTATCAGATCACAAACAGTTTTGTTGAAGATCTTATTCATGGCTGAACAGTCTTAGCTGAAGTGAAACGGTTTTTTACAAAAAATATCTTCCCAAGCGCGTGGTATGAATATAGCCATTACAGTTAGATACGGGAATGGCGGGGCCAAATATTAACTGTGGCATTCAACGATGTTAGGTAGATTTACTTTGAAGCATAATAGAGCCCAATTGCGAATAAGAGCATCACAAGTTCTCGCGGGGTTGGAATCAATTTACAAAATACCCTAACTCTATATTTCGAATGATTTGGTTGGAAGTAGCAATGGTAAAAAACGGAGGTCGATTAAACTAAAAGTCGGAAACTGAAAGCAGTTTGATTATAAAAAAAAAACAGAAGTTGCGCGTATTGATTTGGCGATCACCAGAACGTTCTTAAGTGTTCTCTACAAAGAAATGACAGTCTCAGTGACTTTAGAATCCCGTGCGTTGACGCACATGCATCTTCGAGCTGTTGGACGAGTAAATAAGTGCTCCCTTCGCACTACAGATGGCCTCTCGCCGGACCCCAGGGGGTAGCTATTCCCATGTCCTAAGTTTACTCCGAACACTTACCGTAATCTTAACCCTACTAAACCATTACCTCGGCCCTAGCTCTAACTGAATACCAACTTTAGGCCTGACCGTAACACTAACTCCAGCCCGTCCGAAGTTAAGCGCAGGGCCGACGGCAATACGGGGGTCCAAATTCCTATGGTTGACTCATTGGCCTTCAATCTACCTGCTTCCACAACACTGAATCTTCAGTCTTTATGACATTTGCAAGTCAAAAGCGGAGTGTTATCTCAAAATTTCAGTCGTTAATTACGGAACGGGCTGTTTCTTCCCTCAGTCTGTGTAATTGAATGGAATTTTTATATTTCCAGAAAACACTTCTAGAGATTAACCTGAAAGGCTGTGCAAGATTCAAATGACATCACCATTGAAGTTCAGTGAGTTTTACGTTTGATCTCATCTGGTTACACTTCTCTTGTTTTTGCAGTTTGAGGGGGTATAAAGAAGCTGTGAGAAGTTTCAGTGTCATTAAATAAGTCCTTGCTGAAAAGAAAAGACGGAGCCTTTGGACAGGAATCTAATCTAAGAAGACCAGGCACTTTTTCTCTGCGAAAGTCTGACTATATACTTTCTGCTTCTTACTATGATTTGGGGCTTAAACATTAACGAACTATTACCAATGACAATTCTGTCCTTCCCACTTAGGATGAGACACAATCTATTCGATCCTTAATACGACTTTCTTCTGATTTCCCGAGTTTTTACCCGTAAATCTCTATCACTACTTCTCAGAGGTTGATGACCTAATGGACGTGGTGGTTAAGATCTTCCTGTCAGTCCAAAGCATAAGGAAAGCTTATAAAAAACCTTGCTCTGTACAAAATTATTCAGAGCACACTTTATGAGTAGTTCTACCGCACAGATAAGCTAACCTTAATTTGAGCGGCCAAACCAACGTAGGCGAATTTTGGTTATCTTATTCTCAGTTTCTGCGAGATGAGGTCACTATCATGCAAATTATTCCAAGTCAGTAATTGTTTATATTGTCCGTTATGCTCGCATGAGTCCTCCTCCGACTCAAAGGAAGGTGTAAAAGTGACCTAGGTGTGAATTGGAGACTGCAATTCTTGTTTCCTTTCATCCCGCTTACTTCACGATATGAATTTGGCTGCTATGGTTAACCAGCGGATTTCCCTTTAGTTCCTTTCATCTGTAAAGCAGGTGCTGGCTGCTCATAGTGCGTGGCCGATCTCTTGAAATGTTGGCCGAAATTTTGAAATGGGTTTCGATTAGGGAGGATTACTTATGTGCGGGTGTAATATTGATTACCATTCAGCATAATCTTATAGCACTTCGGACTCAGCAGGATGTCGGCTTTTGGATGTACTCTTTTCTGACCTTCTGCAGAGGCCGCGATCTGCAAAAAGTGAGTACTTATGCAGCATGCACTTTTCTTATTGATCTTCGACGGCCTTACAAATTAAAATATATTTTATGAAAAACATGCACAAAAATATGCTTTCTTTTACTCCTTTTGGTAGAAAATCACACTGTCTTCCTATTACATTACCGAAAAAACTGTTTATTTAGTTTTTAAAAAGATTTTCCAATACCCGAATAATTTTGAGTCAGATCTGCCATTGCATTAGCATTTAGCGATTTCAGTTTACAAAGGGCATGCTTTCCGTGTAAGGAAACTCATATATTCCTCTATGCCTTTAAAAAGATACCACATAGGGTTTATAAAATTTTGCACTGGATCCGGACTGTGCTGTAAATTTCATCCGAAGCCTTGGTTACTGGACATGTACGATGTTATTTATATGGACATCATACGGTTTTGAAAATCTCATAAGTACAATCTTTTTTAAAACCTAAATATAACGTTCTTCAGGTATAAAGTATGAAGCTAGTGTGATTTTCTACCGAACGAGTAAAAGAAGGCATATTTTCTGCACGTTTTCTATAAAATATATTTGAATTTGTAAGACTGTCGAAAATCAATACGAAAAATGCATGCTTCATAAGTAGCCATTTTTTGCAGATCGCGGTCTCTGCAGAATGTCAGAAAAATGTATTTCCAAAAGCCGACATCCTGCTGAGTCCGAAATGCTATAAGATTATGCTGCACGATAGTCAATATTACAACCACACCCAAGTAATCCTCCCTAATCGAAAACACATTTCAAAATTTCGGTCAACATTTCGTGAGATCGGTCACGCACTGTAAATATCAGGAATTCGTATCAGGGCACTGATGAACAAGAATCACCACATTTTACATGAAGATTAGTTAAAAAGGAAGTGTTACCACCAAGCTCTCAGTTTTGATATGCAAAAGCCATAAAACCGCAATATCAAGGACTTCAGAATGTTTCCTGTAAACCTTGGATGGAGTACAGAGGTGTAAAGTGGGGGCGGCATCGATCTCAGTACGTTCTCTCTCCTTCAGAAATGACGAGGTCTTACGTGCTGGCCTTCCGATGGGCGCCAATCATATTCAAATAAAACAGTTTTCCGTTAGATGTGTTAATTGCGGATTGTACGTGAAAAAACGGTGACATCCGCGTTGTGGACTAAAGATATGCGTAAACGCACTTGACTGGACATGTACAGTGCGTGACCTATCTCATGAAATGTTGGCTGAAATTCGATTAAAAAGGATTACTTGGTCGCGGTTGTGATACTGATTATCTTAAGACATACACTTATAACATTTTGGACTCCGCAGGATGTCGGCTGTTAAATGCACTTCTTTTCAATCTCCTGTAGAAAGCGTGCTCGGTAAAAAAGTGACTACTTAAGTAGCATGCATTTTTCCCATTGATTTTCGATGGTCTTTGAAATTCAAATATATTTTATAGAAATCACCAACAAAAATATGCTTTCTTTTAGTCATTCAACAGAAAATTGCGTCTTTTTTATATTTTATACTTAACGAATGAGTATAATTAGGTTTTAAAAAGTTTTCTAATTGCCGAAAAATTTGGAGCCTGATCATTCGTTGCATTAGCGCATAGTGATTACACTCTACATAATGCATGCGTTCCGCGTAAATAAAAATTCATATTTTTCTATGTCATTAAATAGATATCATACGGGGTTCATAAAAATTTGCAATGGATGGTGACCATGTTGTACAATTCATGAGGAGCATTGGTAAACGGCCAGGTACGATGCTATGTGAATGAACATTTCGCGGTCTTAAAAAAACTCATAATTAGAAACTTTTTATAGACCTAATCATACTCCTTTCTTAAGTATAAAATACAAAGAAGACGTTATTCTCTATTGGTTGACTAAAAGAAAGCATATTTTCGTTTATTGTTTCTATAAAGTATATTTGAATTTCCAAGACCATCGAAAGTCAATGGGAAAAAACACGTGCTACTTAAGTAGTCATTTTTTATCGAGCACGCCTTCTACAGGAGATTAAAAAGAAATGCATTTAAAAGCTGACATCTAGCCGAGTCCAAAATGTTATAAAAGTATTCCTAAAGCTAATCATTACCACAACCGCGACCAAGTAATCCTTCCTAATCGAAAAGGCATTTCAGAATTTCAGCCAACATTTCATGAGATAGGTCACGCACTGTATCTCAGGTTTATCGTTGCTGCCAAAGACAGTATCCTGTCGACTCATGTGGTATCCAAAAAGTTGCCACGGCTAAACAGCGGAAGTTAAGTTGAATTCGCACTACTTATTTTATTTTTCTGTGAGTTATCTCACTTATTTCCCTTTATCTTCTGGGCTGCGTTTTCTAAGAGGAGGATCGGTGAAAAAATAAAACTCCAAGTATTGATTCATTTGAACTATTTAGGTGCTCCTTACTACAAACAGGCCACATTCGTCAAAGAAATCGCTTTAAAGTTTGTACAAAGGGTAAAACTATCCTGTTTTAAGGGCTGCGGATAACTTGTACCTTTATTCTTAGGTATCATAACTACCACTGAGACACGGACCCGTTGTCCTATCGATTGCGATCGGGTGTACTAAATGTGATGGAGGGGGGAGGCACTTACCAATCGCGCAGCGGGACATGTTTGCCCAGCTGCACCCAATAGACAGTCGGACAGTCAGAAAAGACCACATCAGCCTCCCTTTTGGATGTACTACCAGTCGCTGCGCGACTGTCAACAGAGCCTTGGATCGAGCCCAATGCACAACGGGAAGTGTATGTTCCTCAAGCCGATTGTAAGGCTTAATTTGCCATACAGCGAGCGACCGCTCTCATGAAATGTTGGCTGAAATTCTAAAACGCGTTTTCGACCAGGAATGATTACTTGGTCGTGGTTGTAATACTGATTATCTTGCGGCCTAATCTTATAACACTTCGGATTCGGCAGGATGTCAGCTTTTGAATACATTGCTTTCCATTCTCCTCTAGAAACTCGGTGAAAAATGACTACTTATATGGCATTCATTTTTCCCGTTGATATTTGCTGTTCTTGAAAATTCAAATATATCTTATAGAAACCCCGAACAAAAATACGCTTTGTTTCAGTCCATTAATAGATAATCACATTTTCTTTATATTGTATACTTAAAGAAGGAGTATAGCAAGGTTTTAAAAAGTTTCTAATTATGAGATTTTTAAGGCCTCGCAATGTCCATCCACATAGTACCGTACCTCGCCATTTTCCACTACTCCTCATGAAATATACAACATAGTCCACATCCACTGCGAAATTGTATTGACTCTGTATGATATATTTTTTATGGTGTAGACAAATATGTGATTTTCCTTACGCGGAACGCATGTACCTTGTAGATTAAAAGCACTAAGCACGAATGCAACGAAAAATCAGGCTCCAAATTATTCGGCAATTAGAAAACGTTTCTTAAAATCTAATGCTACTCCTTTTTTGAGTATAAAGTATAATAAGATATGATTCTCTACCAAACGACTGAAACAAAGTATATTTTTGTTCGGGATTTCTATAAGATTTATTCGAATTTTCAAGAACAGCAAAGATCATTGGGAAAAATGCATGCCATTTAAGTAATCACTTTTTACCGAGTACGGTTTTCACAGGAGATTGAAAAGCTGACATCCTGCCGAGTGCAAAATGTTATAAGATTATGTCGCAAGATAATCAGTATTACAACCGCGACCAAGTAATCCTTCCTGATAGAAAATGCATTTCAGAATTTCAGCCAACAGTTCATGAGATTGGTCACTAGCTGTAGTTAAAAAAAGCCCATCTCAACAAACGAGACAACGGCGCTTGGCTCAATGACAAGAGCGTAGGACCAACAACAAAACGATAGCAGGTTCGAGTCGATCTCACCAAAAACTTCGGACTAAGCGAGATCGGCTTTCGACGGCCCTTAATAGATGTCTTAATATATATCTTAATATATGTCTGTATGTGAATATGCGCAGATGAAGCCTCTGTTGGTCCATGATTCTAATAAACAACTATTTTATATGTGTAGACTGTAGACAGGCTGTTTTTTTCCAATTCTGCCCTCCGATGATGTCTTTGTCTGGTTGTGGACAGCGGTGAGATGACGTGCCGTCCATTTAATGGACTGCTTATTCACTTCCTAGTGGAGGACATTTTCTTATGTCGTCCTACTTATCATGAAAATAATAATCCACCCTGTGCATGAAAACTTATAAAAAACGTGACACGAATCTAAAGAAAATAGCAGAGAGTTAAGCGTGGGCATCGCTCATCATCCGGCGGCTACCACGTGTAGCAGGATCATGAAAATGAAGGATCGGCTGGACGCAGGTGAGCAGTCGGGCGTAGTCTATCAAATCCCTCGCCAAAACTGTCCTTGCCACTATACAGGCCAAACAAGACGACGTCTCAGCTCGGGAATACTTGAGCACGAACGGGCCGTTCGGAAAGGCGATCCACCATCTCAAGTCGCCACTCACACTCTGGAGGGAGGCCATGAGTTCGGTTTCTCCAACACGCGGATATTGGCGCGAGTCGACAAAAAGACGGGGCGAGAACTGTTGGAGGCCTGAGTGTCGGACACCAACTCTATCAATAGACACATTGATTTGCGTGCGTGTTATCACACACTCTGACCAGGTGGTGCAGTTCACATCACCACGCGTACAAACGGTCTCACCACGCCGGGGGATCATTGTGGACCAGGCGGCACAAAGCAGACCTAGTCTCGGGCGTAGTCCCCCCATCCGCACGGAACAATGATATAAATGTTTACACGTTGCTGCACTCTAGTAGTCTCTGATGATGAACTCCAGTTCGAGTTCGAAATCTAAGGTCAATAAATCTACTGTCCCAGTGATCATGCCTTCGCCTCCTTTTAAACAAGAACCTGGGATGCGCATAATCTCTTCCATTGGCGAAATAGCACTTCGGATGAACAACAATCTTTATCAACTTAAAAAACAATCTTAAGTCAACCAACGCAACATGGAATGCTGGATTTTAGCTGAATAACTTTACGTCGACATGAAGGACATCCATCATACAAAAATATTGGCTCCAGGAACTTAGTCGACAATTATAACGTGTATAGTAAACGTGTGACCCTTACTGTTGTGGTTAAGGTCTCACTCGATCCCATTCTGTCCGCTCGCCGGCTTGCCACTGGCGACAACGAACGTCGTGTCCTAGGACACATACCACACATACTACATAAACAGCTCACTAAGATTGCAGCGGGGCAGACGTAGACAGCTGTTTCACGGTCGGTACTGATCACCAGTACGTCATAGCCCATATGAGGTATATAGAAATCGAGTGAGATTCTAACCACAACAGTGAGGGTCGCACGCTTACCTGAAGTGTTTATGTACCTCACTTCATACGACCTGTGACGCAATGAAGATCGGTTACGACAGTAAAACACCTGTCTGCATCTGACTTGTTGCACTCTCATTGAGCTGCTTATGTATTTTCAACCTGCTTTAAAGGAAAATGAAAGAGGTAAGTATTATGCGGCCAATCTGCCGAAGTGTGCGTCTTCTTAAGTTCCATAATTTCCGGTGCGCTGAAGGCCGGATTCAAATTATCGTAAATTGGCCAACCTATGACCCCTTCCCGTCTTTTATGTGCAGCCTCGATGTATACGTTTTTGATGATACTTAATCGATGTCTTTGTCTTGCCTTGACAAATTATCTTCACTCAAAAAGTGAAATAATTCATTTGCGCTGTCCACAGCGGTGTTATGAAACCATGGATGGAATTATGAGCAACGTCAAGAGAAAACCTAAAGGCTTCTAAACTAGGCAAGTCTGCAGATGGCCCTATTTTGGGGAGAAAAGGCCACAGTTTTGTTCAAACGATTTTAATCACAGAGTATTCCTTTGGACACACGGAGTGAAAAACCATTCGTTTGCCATAGAAAAGAACAAGGTATTTACCTACTTGCGATCTAAGTGGGTAATTTTATGCACAAAGGTGACAAAAATGGTTAAGAGACTTCGAAAGTAATAATCGGTATATGGGCTTGGGGTTTATAGTTTTAAGCTTGCGTTTGCAGCTACCCAGTACTCTAAGGCTACTTAAGCCAGCAATTTTTCTTGGAGGATTCTTGACCCACTAGGTCCTAATTTTGTTTGAATCAGTTGACTGTTGGGTACATTTAATAGATCGAATTCATATAAAAGAGTCAGTCGGGCGTGAGAAGGCTCTACGCAAATTCAGACAACGCTTTCACACAGTTCGACCGACCGCACACAGTTTCATTCCTTCTGAAAAATTTCGCGACTTCATTCTGCCTGTACGTAGGAGCATCCAGCCTCGAAGGGGGCTTTTCTTCCAGCATGAGAGGTAGACGGGGGGGGAGAGGAGAGAGGGGAAACGCCTCAGAAAAAGCTCTTAAAAGCAAGCATTTGCGAGTGCAGTTGCCCCTACCTCCCCCCACAGCATGTCGTTACATGGAGTGGTTATAGCAGAGTGGCGTCTGACACACCAAACGTTTGAAGTGGAAAAAACGTCATTGTGGCAGAGCTCTGCTGCTGCTGCTGTGCACGACCAGAGTGTAAGAAGTGATCGCAACGATTTGCGATTTCATCCCCTTGCCAATGGAGAACACGGAATGTTGCCGTAGTCCTTCATCCCGTCAAATCAGCAGATAAGCGCATTCGCTGGGATGAAGTTATCAGGTAGGAGCAAATTAACGAACGAAGTGGACTAAAAGGAGGAAGACTTAACCGAAATGGAATCGAAGCAGGTGACAGCAGGTAACTTTAAATGTTCAACACGAGGTGAAACCTCTCTATAAACGTTTTTTTATAAGGCTTTAAAACCGGGTTTATTCATTTGGTGTCATTACACAACCAAAAAGTCAGTTTGGGACACCATATACTACTTAAATTGTCCACGATCTACTGCACATAGTAGGAAGCAGATCAGGTCGGTCAGTTTCTATTGAGTATACAATGAATGGAATGAGTACGCAGCTATCAATCGGACATTTTGAGTCCAGAACGCAGGCCCTAAACAAGACAGTCTTGGGAAGATATCAAGTATTGTGACTACACAGACCTAGAAAGACATCCCAGACTGCAGCCCGCCTCTCAGTCTCGAATACACCAGTGCTTATGCTTATGGTAAGTCCAACCTGTGTGAATCGATTCACTTCACACTTCCTGCCAGCGAAAAATCCTCAAAACTGAACCCAAAATTCTACCTACCACCGCCCATAATGGCCAGTTGACGTTGAACCACGGAGTAGGGGTCGGTTTCGCTGTCCTGGTCTTAGGCATAAGCGCAGTGTAGGCATTGCAAGTAAAGGTAGCTGAAGCGGGATGCTAAAATCGATAGTGGAAAACCGCCACTGATGTTTTGGTTTAAAGTTAGGGTTGGTTTAAGCGTCTGGGTTAGTGTCAGGTTGAGAGAAATGAGCTAAGGATTTGGGTGTGTTAAGTTTAAGGTTTCCGGTTAGACTTAGGGTTTGGATTGCGGCTTAAGTTTACCTTTAGTGTTAAAATTGGAGTCAGGGTGAGGGCGGGATTACGGTTAAAGTTGGGGTTAGGGTTATGGTTAAGGTTAGGGTTAGTGATTGGGTTACGGTTAGGGTTGGGGTTAGGATTTGCGTCAGGGCTGGAGTAAGCGCTAGGGTTTGTGGCAGGTTTACGGTTGAGTACAGTAGGTGAGCTAACTCATGAAATGTGAACTGAGATTCCAAAATGCATTTTCGTTTTGAAGAGATTTATTAAGTGGGGTTGTAAAACTAATGAGTCTGCAGTATAATTCTATAATAATTCAGTTACCTCAGGATGCCGACTTTCGAATGAACTTTCTTCGACTGCATACAAAAACTATACTCTGCAAAAAATGACTACTTATGTAGCACGCATTCTCCTCCTTGATTTCCGATACCCCTTAAAGTCCAATTATATTTTATAGAAAACATGCGTAAAAATATTCATTCTTACGCTCATTCTGTAGAAAAATACGTTTTCTTCTAATCTTATACTCGAAGGAACGATATGTTAAACGCTCACACTGAAGATTCCAATTAAGACGCGGATTCTCCGCAGACAATTGAACCGCTTAGCGGAGATGACTGCTCCAACAAATACCGAGACAAGTTGGAACAGAAATTGGCGACGAAGCACAGTGTACGCAACAGATTTAAAAAAAGAGTGTCATAGTCGTCTCAAGTCCAAGCACACTCGACTGCGGCCATGATAATGACATCATGAAAGAGTCGGCAGAGGGCAACCTTGTACCGGGAATAAAAACTTGAATTTTGCAAACCTCATTTCTCAATGGCGCACGCTCGATGAAACACCATTTTATCCCACTGAGGGTAGTGTCAGTGTCTCTTCTTAGAGTGAAGTGTACCTCCTTACGAGGGCGAAGGATGTCCAAAATGTTAAAAAGGTATAAACGAAGGCAGAAAGAAGTCACATGATCAAATATTTGACAGAGCAACCCAAAAGATCAGCTTTATTGTTCACTTAGATTGAGGGTTGCAGGACTAATTAAGTAAAACAACCCGAGATACAATTCTGGGAAATACTTTGAAGAGGATTTAAACCATTACATTCTTTGTTATTTTTCGGTCACGGTTGTGAGAAAAACCGTTAAGATGTCTTCTTATGTAACTCCTTCACTAAAATTTGTGGCTTAAAATAATATTTAAAATTAGGGTTTACTCGCGATAAAGTGGCTGTTTTGGAAAATGACTGAGGCGCATTAAGCATATCGTAAAATGTATCCGTTCTAAATCTAGACTACTTTATGATTTTGTATGATTTTTCATACTGGCAACACTGCTATTAGTTAAATTCCCAGACATGCGTTTTGCCGATATTCTGCCTTCGTATGGCACAGTTGTGAGAAACTCGGCTCATCAGTAGATCCGCAAGCGTTCTCCGTGTTTGTTCTGTTAGGTACTTTAGTTTAAACCCTTCAGCTTTTTAATAGCGTTGGAAATTAGTGTGTTATCCTAAAGTAAATTTTTTGGGATGTAGTTTTATAGGGTTAGTCCGAAGACTGACGTTGGTTTTTGGGACGAGCTCCATCGGCTACAGCGGGATAACCGTGTAATATTCACAAACTCTCAATAGAAAGCCAGTACTATATTCGTGGGGCATGATTTGCCATACCACTGAGCCAAATCTCTTGCAGCTTTGTCATGTTCAGCGAAACACACATTTTTCTAGTTAATACCACGCAACATGAGTACTATACTGACTCCTGTTGCTAGTTTATAAATATTACGCGTTATTACATTGAAGTTGATAGTTTGTAGCTCAAATATTCGTGCTATTTCTTGGCTCCAGCTGATAGGGTATCATTTTAAAGGATTTACTATATGGAACAACATTAATTCTTGGTTGGTGAGGAAGGCTGTTTTAAAAAAACATTTAGCCAAAAGCATAATGCCTACTCGGAAATATGTCATAAATAGGTTACAAATCAAGACCTTCCACACAAAATATATGAAAACAAAGAACCTTTTCCAACAATAACAATGTCAATAGTCTCGCGAACTGTTGACTGGAGTTCTGTTTCCTATTCTAAAATATTACTTTAGCAGGACAACGACATTTGTTACCATACTACATAATGCTAAAATATTCCAGTCATGCCAAGATGCCTGCTTTCAGACGAACTTTTTATCGGACGCTTGCTTCAACTATATTTCGAAAAAATCAACTACTCAAATAGCCTGAATTTGTCTGGCTAATTTTCAATACCGTCATAAATTCAAATACATTTTGTAAAAACATACATAAAACGTTTTTTACTTATTAGGTAGTCAATCATGTTGTCTTCAAATTTTACACTCAAGGAGTATCTTTTTGTTTTAAAACCGTTCTTTCTTCCCGAGCTATTTCGAGCATGACCACCTGGTTCGCTTGCATTCCAAGGTTTCCCATAAACCAGCTGTATGCTTTTCGCGAAAGGAAAATCATATACTTATTTTACTTATTTGTTAGCAAATTACGTCATTTTTGAATTTATACTTGAAGGAAGAGTAACTGTAGTTTTTAAAAAAAAATGTTCTCAGTTCCTGCTTAATTTTGAACCCGACCTGCTGATATAAGGACATTTAGGGTTTAAAAACTGCCAGCTG